TGATAGGTGTCAACAAATGAACAGCCCAATCTGGGGTGAAGGATGGAGAAAATGCAGAAACTCAAAAAACAATTCCAGATATAATATACCTGGATACATAGAGTAAAAAACAAACAAATGTGGAAAGGATTGTAAATAATTAACCTTGAACAACTAACTAGTTGACAGAGTTCCTAAGTTAGTGATTTGAAAATACAGTGCTCTGTCTGGCTCCTTTGCCTTTACGTGATTCTTCACTGAGGAAGTTATAAAAATAAAGATTCAAAGGGTAGTATTGTCTTGCCACTTCATGCTTTTTTCTAGGTATAAGTTGCAAAATGCTGAAGGTCTCTTGCTCTCGCTGTGCTGATTATCAGCATATCTTAGCTCTTAAAAAAAAAAAAATCCTGGAGCCTGCTTTCAGACCTAAAAATTGTGTAGCTCAATCATTATTTTTCACCACTTCTATCTGAAGCATAAGATTTGTGCTTTCTTTTTGTACAGAAAACTCTATCCCAAATCTATTATAAATATTTTGTCAGTAGAGACAAAACCATTTGCCTCAAAAAAAAATTGTCTTGATAAATTGCAAATGGAGCTTATATAAATATTAACGATTGGAAGAAAAAGCAAGCCAGGAAAATAAAATTATTTCCCTAGGAATCAAGGTGAGTTAAATCTTGTATGTATGAGTGGGCTGTTAATACTGACACTGAAACCAAAGGTGTTGCACAATTAGTACCTTAAATAAGGCACAGTTTTAAACACATCATGATAAATAAAAACACTACCAAGCAGCCTAAATAACAAGGAACAGTGATTGGAGTCAGTTGAAATACAAGTACTCTGGAGATAGCACCTACACGGCCAATCCTCAGGACCTGCAGACATGGACCCCCCTCTAAACACTGCTGACCAGGTTACCCCTCAGTCATCAGGAGACCTAAACTAATTCTTTTGTCGACTTCAAGTGCTGACATTTTTATCAAGAAAGTACTGGTGTTACTACAGTTTATGAATAAATAGGTTTTTTGTTAAGAACTTTTATATGGTTCGTTGTTATAGGAGCTGGGGGAAAGGCTGTCCTGGACAAGCCCCACAAACAGGGTTGCTCTGTAACAACTTTTCAAGTACAAAACCACTCACATAAGTGAGCATTACCTACATAGAGGGCTCCTCTTCCCTTAGTAATGAATATTTTTAAAAGTAATGGATTTTAGCAATATTTATTTACATATGATTTGTTCTATTTTCCATTGCAGGCCTCCTTCCTCTAAAAACTTCAATCTTGGGCCTCCCTGGTGGCGCAGCGGGTTAAAGCACAGCACTGGGAAGCTAAAGCCACTTCTGCATGAGTTCGACTCCCGCCTGCCCCAGAGGTCACCACATGGC